TATCCAGAAGTATCCGATCTTGAGAATTCGGAGCATCTTTTAGAATCCAAAAATTTCGGTCTCATAAGCTGGGTACATATTTCTTTCAGATGTTCTATAATCAGATAAAAAAAAGAGTTGTGTTTTGGATATGAAGCTCGCCAATTAATAGCTCTGCCGCCATTACATTTTCGACTTTTTGACTTCAGACACCACGAACTAGTCTGGGCAACGTAGTCAGTATGCGCATCCCATGTTAGTGATGTTCCAGCGATGCTTCTGTACGTTGAGCTAAACTACACCACACTTTTCGATCCTGAGCTGCACATCTTTGTGAGTGACGTTGAATAAAATTTTTCCAAACAATACAACGATTTCGTATTATCTTCTTTTTCAGGGGTGCGCCATGCACACGATCCAGTTCTTCCGTTAGCGAGCAACGTGTAGCGTTGAATATGCATAACGTTGCCGGACTATTCATCATCCTCGGTCTTGGCTTGATTTTCGCATTCTGCACCGTTATCGTGGAATTCTGTATTCGTAGTCGGCAGCTTGCGCACGATGAACAGGTACTGTAACTGCTTGCATATCCTAATGCTCAATTCGAGAACTTCCACTCCGGGGTCTACGCACTATCTTGCAGTACTGTGTGGAATCATGACGTACAATCGGTGGTTCCCTTCAATGTACACACTAAAAGGACTAAGCTTTACAGGTCTGATGATCTAAGGCCTACAGTTATCGCTTACCACACCTCATTTTCGTCTTCACTAGTTTTTTCTCGATACTTAAAACTGAGTCTAGCGTTGTCCCCTTTAATTAGCAGGACTGTACTAACTTTCAAGCCTATTTCAAACTGCTATTTGGTACCGGTGAGGAAGTCACAGTGAACTCCCGCAAATTTCATCCTACAAAAAAATCCCCAACCAGCCACTGCTAGCTTAAGTTCATTATTGATAGCATTTTTCCTAAGGGGCGCTTGTGGCTCCTTTGGATGGTAACACAGGCATGGAGTGAACGGGGAGAGAGAAAGGAGTGCGAATGCTGAACTGGGACTCACGGAGTAGTAGCGGCGGGAAAGGGACTGAGATATTGACTGTGAAGGAGCTGAGGCTCAGCCTGGAGGTTGGAATTGGGGACAAGAGTGCGGACTGTAGGGTGGAGAGAAGTCCTAAAGACCGGCAAGGTAGGGCGCGTTATTGCCTGGAAAGACATTCGTTGGGGGTACGAATCGAAGGATAAGTTCTATGGAGGAGGGGTTTTTTTATGTTCAGCGTTAGTGCCTAGAGAAGTTAGTCGCTCAATACGCGCTTACTTTTCAGTCCAAGTTCAAGTGGCGAAGATGGTAACGTAGGTAAGCTTCTAATGTCGCATCCAAGACTGCGATCTTCCCCTCCGCTCTAAGTCCCACGCTGAGCGTGAAAAACCCACAGGGGAGACCTCTACCCTCAATAAACCCCGTCGTTTCCAGTTCTTCCCAGTGAGTAAACCTGCTCCCTCCGTCGCCACTACTCTTGAGACCTAAACCACGGACGAGAATTATGGGTGGATGGGAGAAGGGAACGAGGGGGACTATCTGGGCTTTTTATGCTCAACAAAAAAAATTTGATGCTTGGCGAGCAGCAGCTACATCGGAAACCTCACCTGAACAAAGAAATAAGTCCCGCAGAATGTGCTCTAGGAACGGGTGTACATTGCGAGGTCGGGCTGAGTCGAATTCTGGCGATTGCCCAAGCAGTATTTCCCTCAGGTACCACGGGATCAGTTGTACGCTTTCGAGTATGAACGGCCTTGGGACCGAGTCGCAGGGACGTCAGGCAATAACAAATAAATTCCAAACCTGTTTGGTACCAGAAGTGTCGTAAATTTTTGGATGTTATTTTTAGAAGCCTTTCTGGCAAGAAGTACTGGAGGAGTTGCGCTTCGCACTGAACATCAGCAAAGTTCATGAGCACCGTACGCGACGGAATTTACAGCAGGATAGCCAGGAGCTTGCATCACCCTCTGCACAGCTTCTCTAAATACCCCTTTCTTCCTTACTTTTCTGTTTGCAATAATAAAAACGTGGTCTTTTCGAAGCTTCACATTCCCATCAATACAGAAGCAAAGAGCAATATCTGAGCAGCACTTTTGCTCATCTTCATCTCGCATGCATCCGGCGTGAGACATAAACAATGACCCCAGGCCGAATCCATTTCACAACCTTACATCTGGGTACCATCACGTTCCCCGACCACAGGTGAATCGATGGGGGAAGGGAGAAGGGGGGAGGAGTAAGGTCCTGGCAGGGGGAGGACCAAGGATGCGGAAGACAGATTTCTTCAGTTTTAGCACTGCTATCTGTAAAGGGCCTGCCCCCCTCCCCCTCCCTCCTTCCTCTGTTGGATCAGCTGATGTCTCCAATCCACAAAAAAAGTGATAACGTCGTAGCAACCGGTCATTCACGCACCTGAAAGCACGCTAACACGAACAAGCCCCGACCACAGCGCTCTCGCCCACGTTCACTTCTAGCCGCACGTATCATATACCACGGTAGCAGAGTATGCCCCATCTCTCACCCCGCGGTTTCCCCCTCCCCGCCCCTCCCTCCCACACACACGGGAATAGTGAAGGATGTGTGTTGTGCGTGTATCACGTGCAACTGAATGCCACCACACGTACCGGTGTCCCTCCCCCCTTGTTTCTGTGTAACACAACGAGATTTACATCTTTTGAAATCGAGAAGGCGCACCACATCTCATGTTTATTCGGCCATATTTTGCCTTTACGGAGGATTACTGCCAACAGATTGTATATTCGAAATAGTAAAAAGAACAAGAGTTGTTG